TACTAAATTATAATGGACTTCCCTAATTACTAAAGGTAGTTAATCCTTTCCGTCTTAATACTCAGTATGAAAAGATCTAATGCTTTTGGGTATGCAGGTTATTTTACATAAATTGATAATTTTCGCCGAAGGCCCGTATCTTTTGACAATAACTTAATCCCAAGTATTGTCTGCTTCTCATGTCCAGTTGTTGGTACCGGTAACTCAAAACTTTCGGAATTTTTACTTCCTCAGAATTACCTTTAACTGCCCGATGATTTTAAGTGGGGGATATACCTTCTCTTATTTTTTCTTGGATAGTTGGTAAAATTTTTAGTGGAACCAACTTACTTCTCGGTGGGCTCTCGTTGAGCGTGGTCGCTTGCCTGAAATTATCGTCTCTGTGAATTATTTTCTAAGTGTGTATACACTCTATATTTCAGTTTTCTTGTCTTAGACTATATTAAGTTATATATAGTTCTACACTACCTATAATGGTACCTAATTAAATTCAGTGTTGAACACCAGTACAGTATATTAAATTCAGTAAATTAAGCTGCCGTCATCAAGAATTATGTAAGTTACCATAGTCTTTATCAGCAAATTATCTGGGCGAGTAATATGGTATGTTATCATACCACCTGCCATTATCTGGACGTATCACCCATCATTCATCCATATCTTCATCTGTAGAATGTTGATTTTTATATTTAATTTAGAGAACAATTCAAGAACTTTCCATAAATAATAACTATGAACATCTCAGTTTAGCATTAATTAATAGTGCGAGATAGTAACCCACCTAGCCAAGTGCGGTTTGGCTAGTTAATGTTTTCAACTCTGTAACCTGTTTGTTTTTTTTTTTGTAAATTTAGAGTTAAGAAATTTTTGCTATCTTTTGTATTTGCTATAATTTTTGCTCATTATCTTTCCTATAATACCTCGAGATACGCCAAACTATATTTGTATATGATTGCCTTATATATCTTGATAAAGGTATTTTTTTATTATATTATTGCTTAATTTTATACATATATAACACCATTTCATAGTTGTGTATTTTTATTACTTGTGTTGCATTTAGCAACATCATAATTTTGTGTTTAATATATTGTTAATGTTTTATGCATGTATTTTATTTGTCGGCTCCTAACAAGTTCCCTGACACAATAGTAGCTCTAGATATTTGCTTAGTATATTAATTTATTACTATACCTTTGACCAGTAGAAAGATCAGGCTGATTAAGTTTCGTAGGTAAGTAAGTATAATACCTAATATATTTATTATTTGTTTATATATTGTGTTGACCAAATTTATTTGATAATTAACTGTTGGTATTTTTCCTTGGGTTTGATCTCTGATCTCTGAAGGATATCTTTCCTTATCTCTTTTCTTTTCTAAGGTTTCTTAATTTTCTCCTTAAACCCAAAAAATTGAGTGGCGCCCTGTTTCTATCTTCTCTTATCTATTTATCTTATATATTTTACCTATCTATCTTTTTCCCGACTCCAAAAGCTAGTTTCGAACCCACAACTCGCTCTCCACCAACCATCTGGCTGCCGTCCGCAGTGTCTCCATTGGTTATCTTTCTAGCATCATCCAAAAAGATTTCCGAGGTTACAATATGTCTCGAGTTCGAAGACACCAGAATTACCAGCATGTTAGCGATTTTGATAGGGGTAGAATTATTGCTTATAGAGATATATTCCTGTTCTTCGGCTTCCATATCTTGGTATTCTTGTTCTATTCGATGTTTTATTATTTTTTCATATATTTTGCTAATACTACTATTTACTGTAATTTCTCTCTAGTTTTCAGGTTTCGATTTATCTTCGTTTTTATGGATGGTGCTCATATGAGATTCTTTCCATTCTTCAGGTATTTCATGTTTATTTATGCATTCCTGAAAAAGTTGTCGTAGCCGTTGAATTAGTATTTTGGGTCCATGTTTAATGAGTTTCGGAGCTACATTTCCTGGCCAGGTGATTTGCCAGTCTTTAGATGTCTGCATACGGTTTTGACTTCCTTCTCATTTATGCTGATTGGTGATCCTATCAGACTGACGCCTTGTAGACCATAGTTCTTTAGTTGTTTGAGGGGCTCTCTTGTCTCTCTTAGTAAATCTTATAAAGTATTCTTTCCAAGTTTGCGGTGATATGGACAGGATAATATCTCTTTTTCTGTTCTTTCTTAAATTTTTTAAAAGTTTTCAGCTTTCTGAACTTTGGCTTCCACCAATGTATGTATTTTCACATTTCTTGTGTTCAGATATTTTAATACCATTTTCTGTTCTGTGTTATTTCCTGCGAAATATCTTGATCTCGCCAATATGGTTTTAGTTGTCAGATCTTTTCGTATCGCCCTAGTGCTTCTAAGTCAGCGGCGTGTATACATTCTTTGATGGTTTTATATAACTGATTAACATTCCTGGTATTATCTTCCGTTTTAATTATTTTTTTTTCCAGTCTACGTTTATACAGGTTTCAAACACTTTCTTGGTGTAAACTAAAGAAATGTTTAATTTCAACTGTTACTATTCAAATTGTCTCGTACTTCTTGTACTTGCTCCTTTGTATGGTTATCTTGCGGCGTTTTCTGTTCTCTTTTATGAGGAAATGAAATATCTGAAGTATGAAGTTTCGGGTTTCCTAAGTCCACGTATATTTATGAATGTTTCTATGTTGAAAATATCCATTCATGATTCTGAGTCCATTCTGATCGCATATATCTGTTAACCTTTCTCCGTTATTGTTCTTATTATCTTCTCCGTATCTAACTACTACTTTATCGTTGTTTTTTTTTCAACTCTGCTGTTGAGGTCTCCCAAAATTATTATTTCTCTTGTACTACCTACCTTTGTGATTTCTTCAATTAGTTGTTCGAAAAATTTATCTTTCACATTTACAGTAGCATCTTCACTGATTGCACATATTCCCAGAATGATCAGTATGTATCCTTTTATACATTAAAATTCCACAACTAATACAGTTTTACAACAACAAGGATAAGTTAATTACTATTAAACTGAGAATAAGCTACAATTAAAGATAAAAATACCTTTATTGACGTTTCAATTTCCACTTCGGAAATCGTTATCAAAATACAAACAGTAAATTAAACAAATTTTGTTTTTTGTTACATAGTGAAAAATTCTTCTAATAATTTAATTTTATCTGACTCATTTATATTGACAATTCAGACATACATTATGCATTTTAAAGTAGACGACTTTAAAATGATATTGCTAATATTGTTGAGTTGCGCTCCTGGGACGACTTTACTTGTAAGATAGTTCATTCGATTACATGAAATCAACTTTAACTTGGGAATATCATTCAGAAAAAAATCATAGCATGTAATTCATCTTTAAAAAGACAAACACATGACATGATGATAGTAAAATTCTCCTGTTAGTGATTCCATAGTAAATTCTGATTTTATATGTTACGTTATTTAAAAATATAAATGATGTATCCTCTATATGTTACTGACTTACTAATACTGGTATTTTCTTATTAATAACTTCCTCTTTCAATATTGGTAACCAGATCCTACTACATTCTGCCGAGAAATTTGCGACACAATTGGCCTCATTTAGCATAAATAGAGCCGCTTCTTTGATTTTTCTTTTTTTTTACCATCCGTTTCTTTTAGGACTACATTTGAATTATTCCATTGAACCCTATATTCATTATCCCATGCGTGTTTACAGATTTCAGATCTATCAAATTCTTTATTTTTAATATAAGATTGATGTTCACTTATTCTAACATTTAATGGCCTTGATGATTCACCTAAATAAAACTGATCGCATTCACAAGGTATTTTATAAATGCAATTCTTTGTCCTTTCTTGTTCATTGTTAGTTTTAGTTTTGGACAAAATCTATCTCAACGTGTTTGTTGTTTTGAATGTTGTTGAAATGTTGAATTTATTTCCTATCCTTTTAAGTTTTTCTGATAGTCCTTTTATGTACGGTATTGTTATTTTCTTCATATTATTCCTTTTGTATGCCGTAGGATCTCGTTCTAAGTTGTTCTGTTCTATTCGATCGATTGTTGAAAATTCCTTATTTATAAACGATAAAGGATAATCATTTTTTAATAAAACAGATGTTAACAAATGTTTCTCCTCCAAGAACGAATATTCATTAGAACAAGTAATTTTGGCTCTTTCGTATAAGGATTTAATTATTCCCTTTTTTACATTAATATTGTGATTTGATTTGAAATTTAAATATCTATTGGTGTGTGTTGGTTTTCTATACACCTGAGTCTCATATCCAGTATCGTTCTTAGAGATTTAAACATCCAGGAAATGTAGCGTGTTATTATATTCCTTTTCCATGGTAAATGTTATTGTCTCCTCTTTATCGTTTATATCATTTAGGAATGTGTCCAATAACTCTGATCCATGAGGCCATATTGAGAATACATCATCTACATACCTCCACCATACTGTATTCTATATATACTGTATACTATATCCTAGCTTCAGAACAATAACAAGGATAAGTTTTCTATTGTAATTTGTTTATATTAAACGTCTATTAACTGATCTTTTAAGATTAGATTGGTCTGATTGATCAGTTTTATATTCATAAACACATTTTTAATTTAAACCAGGCTAAAGAAAACATTAAATTTACAGTAGAAGTAAAAAACACGGTGCCCTAACTTAATCACTGTAGGTATGTACATGCATTTATCTAGTTAAAAAATGTTAATGATACCCTAAAACTTAAGTCTTTTGTGTAAAATAAATTGTTAATAATAGCAATGCCCATTATTGACTACAACCTTGTTATTTATTGCGATTTACTTCGGCTTAGATAAATATTTGGTGTCGAATCAGGATCATAAATTTTCTTGTGTATACCTACTGCTTATTTTATAGGAATTTAAAAATTTTTAACAGCAGGTTTGCAAAAATAATCAAAAACGTAAATTACGACCGCTTCAAGAAAATTGTTTCGTCTGTTGTATGTGAACCACAATAGAAATATCTTCAATGTGAGTTTGTGAGTTAAAGGAGCGGATCAAGACGTTTTAGAAAAAATATACTGTGATACTGGTCAGATTATAGTAAGTAGAATTAGTGTATAATAAGCTAAATACAATTATATTGAGAATGGTGTAAATAAAATAAGAGACAATCCAGAATTAATAATTTTTTTAGGATCTTAAAGATGTTTTGGTTATCGATTTAATCATATGAATAATATTATGAAAGTAAAAACAATTACTCTTTGGCTATATTAACGGACTTAAAAATGTGCATAAAAAATCATTATAAAATTAAAGCGACGAAACGCAACTTTATTTAAAATTATTAGACAATATTAATACTTTTGTATACCAAGGGTTTTGATTTTAATTGCCTGCCAGAGACTAACAACTTTTTTTAAGAATACTTTGTTTTAATGCACTACATATATAAAAAAATATAAAATGAATTTTTTATTGAAAAAAAAAATGTTTGGTAGCTGTGTCAAAACATGGTACCTACAGTTCTTAGATAAAAAAAAGTAATATTGTTCTGAAGCTATTTTCTTGTGGCATTTTAAATTAATTACTATTTAACTGGGAATAAGCCACAATTAAAGATAAAAATGCGTTTATTGACGTTTCAATTTCCACTTCGGAAATCGTTCTCAAAATACAAACAGTAAATTAAACAAATTTTGTTTTTTGTTACATAGTGAAAAATTCTTCTAATAATTTAATTTTATCTGACTTATTTATATTGACAATTCAGACATACATTATTCATTTTAAAGTAGACGACTTTAAAATGATATTGCCAATATTGTTGAGTTGCGATCCTGGGACGACTTTACTTATAAGATAGTTCATTCGATTACATGAAATCAACTTTAACTTGAGAATATCCGTCAGAAAAAAATCATAGCATGTAATTCGTCTTTAAAAAGACAACCTTTATGAGGGAAAAACCAGGAAAAAAAACCTCATAATACTATCCCGACATGGTAAGTATTTGTTCGTGAATTTAGTTTACCTTCAACAAACACCAAAATTCTGATTTTATGTTTCGTTATTTAGAAAACATAAATGATGTGTCGTCTATATGTTACTTACTTACTAGTACTGGTATTTTCTTATTAATAACTTCCTCTTTCAATATTGGTAACCAGATCCTACTACATTCTGCCGAGGAATTTGCGACACAATTGGCCTCATTTAGCATAATTAGAGCCGCTTCTTTGATTTTTTTTTACCATCCGTTTCTTTTAGGACTAAATTTGAATTATTCCATTGAACCCTATGTTCATTATCCCATGCGTGTTTACATATTTGAGATCTATCAAATTCTCTATTTTTAATTTAAATTCAACATTTCAACAACATTCAAAACAACAAACACGTTGAGATCTAGTTTGTCCAAAACCAAACCTAACAATGAACAAGAAAGGACAAAGAATTGCATTTATAAAAATACCTTGTGAATGCGATCAGTTTTATTTAGGTGAAACATCAAGGCCATTAAATGTTAGAATAAGTGAACATCAATCTTATATTAAAGCAATCTTATACGCCAGGTGAAAAAAAACCGGTATAACCGAAAACCGGTGTTTTGTTAAAAACCGCCATCCCTAGTCTGAATCCGCTTTGGTAATCGCCTATTATTTCTTCTGCGTATGGAGTTAGCCTTCTAGACAGTATTATGGATATAATTTTGTACGTTGTATTGATTAATGATATTTCTCTATAATTCCGACTGTTTATTTTTTTTTTTTCAGACTTTTATAAGGTGATATATCTCAATGTGGAGCTTTTCTTTCCCTTTTTTTAGTAGTTCCGCCTATATGCCGTCTGGACCTGGCGCTTGATGGTTTTTTAGGAACGAAATTGCGGACTTTACTTCAGCTAGTGTGGGCCCTGGTATTTCAGGTTTAGCTAAGTGGTACTGTCTTTGTTGCCCAGTCGTTGTGGGTTTTTCTGTATTTAAGAGTTGCTCAAAATACTTTCTCCATCTTCTCGTCGTCTGTCTGTTGGTCGTGTTGCCCTTCAATGTTTGTTTCTTCAAGTCCTATCACTTGCGTACAGTACTATTGTGGCTATCGAAAAAACTGTTTAGCTCGCTGTTTATTATAGCACTTTATACATCTTCCCCTAGATTTGGTGTCAATTAAACTGTAACTTTTAGCGGGTTCAGATGGATGTAGAATACTTAATTCCGTGTGCCTTTTTTTAAACATCTCATTGGCAATTTCTTTTTAATATTGGCAAAATATTTGTTAAGAGTTCTTTTGCAACTTTTCTGTACCTATTTATACCTTGACGTACAGGAGTCGATCAAGGTGCCTTTTGATCTGAAACATCTATATATGATTTATTGTTATTATACTTTGCAATAGTAGATGGCATTTAAACAACTTCGTTTTTTGTTGTAACATTGATTATTTTAGGAATTGCTACAGTTGTCAGAAACAAGAATTCTGGTTTATCTCTTCATCTTCTCTTGGAAGTTTTGCTGAGGTAACTGATTTAGGATAAAATGTTCTATTTCTCTTTTAGAGTTTCTATCAGATGAGTTTTTCTATTCAAGAGTAAGTTCTGGACTAACGCTAACATAAAAATCATCCGTACACAATATACATCCACAATCTATAAGAGTCAAGCAATAAGTTTAAGAATTACACGATATTCAGAACTGGATGTTCAGTAGCAGAGCGTTCTTTACCAGAATAAATTTGTTTAGTAAAGCCTTTTCTGTCACATTGAATCATTGACTAGTCAATACAACTTGCCGTCCTGTAGTATAATATGCAGCTTGAAATTTTGAAATCTTATCTGTTAAGAGCATAATTTTACTCAAACGTTTGGATCTGTGGATAAAAGTAATTCAAACCGCATTCTTTTCATGCTAACATAGTTTCCCACATCGGTTTTAGACAGCAAATTTTGAGAAGCATATCCCTTTATATATATATATATATATATATATATATATATATATATATATATATATATAGACAAGGTAGTCCAAAGTTTTTTGACTAGTTTGGAAAAAATATATGTAAATACTTTTTTCTTTTTGGGTGTGGTAGTCAATAAAAAATAGAGCTTTGCTAAGGCGTTAATCTTGGCACTACCAGCAGACTCCATACAATTTACTTTAAATGTTTTCAACCAACAAAACCCACACTTGCAATTCACGTGCGAGGAAGAGCGGGAGGGATCTTTGCCCTTCCTTGACATGCGTTTGCATAGATGTGAGGATAATGTTGTGAAAACACAATGGTATAGAAAACCTATATGTAGCAATAGATTCATAAGCTACCATTCCCATCATCCTCCTAGAATGAAAACCAACCTAGTCCTAGCAATGAAAGAACGTGTCAAAAGGTTATCACATCCAGATCATCTCCAACATGATCTTAACCTCTTACGGAATATTTTTGTTGAAAATTCATATCCTCTAAGACTGATTAATAAATTAATTTTTAATGTTCCATTTGTTAACAGAAACAACATTCTCACTAATTCTCAATCAGTGCCCTCAGCACAAAACAATTCTTCTCAAACAAGTGTGTATTTTTATGCCCTTCCGTATATTCCAAAACTAACCGTAGAACTTACTAAAATTTTCAAAGAATTTAAGAACATCAAAATAGCTAACAAGAACATCAAAACCATACGTCAGCTATATAGCAAAATAAAACAACCCCTAACTACTTTAGAGTCAAGAGATGTTGTTTATTGCATTCAATGTACTGAATGTCCATCCACGTACATTGGTGAAACTGGAAGAAATCTGTCTAGTCGTATCATTTCTCATAAGAGTGACTGTAGACTAAATAAACCCACTTGTGCTTTGGCAGAACACACTATCGATCTAGACCATAAGATAGATTTCAACAATGTTAAAATATTAGCCAGAGAGAAAAATAAATTTAAGAGAACATTCTTAGAAATGGTACATATCAGCAGGAGTGATAACAACAATCTGAATAAAAGATCTGAGATCCAGAATCTTAGCAAAATTTACAATTTTATTTTGACTTTTGACTAGGGTTTTCTGCATCTCAGAGTGCTTCATGTTTCGTAAATTCCATTATTAATTACTATAATTATCATGATTAACTTCAGTTATTATTCAGATGTTCATATTGTTTTGTTTGTTTGTTTTTTCTAAACCTATTTACTAAATACTATTTTCTTTTTATTTTTTGACAATAATAAAACCTTTTTTTAAATTTCCCTCTCAATTCTAAGTTGGTAACATGGTTGGTAGTACCTAAAATCACAAACGGCATTTTGTTAGACATCAGTTTGAAAGTTTGTTTTTTGTAGTTACATCGAACTATTTAAACAACAATAGTTCCTCCTACTACCTCTTTCTGTTCGTGAGATGTGACTGAATTCCAACCTGCGAAGACGACTGTTTTTTGTCAAACATGTCGTCTTATTTTTTACTTTTTAAACTTTGTAACATGTTCTTTAATTTTTAAGTATTTTAAAGTTTTTAAAATTTTTAATGCCTTCAATAATTCAGATCACATCATGTTATTTAACGTTGTGTTTTATATGCTATGAATCTTACTTTCTGGTAAGTTTTTATAACTTTTATATTACATCAGCCTAATGTTATAACACAGTAATTTTCATTGTAGACCTTGATAAAGGTGGCAAATAACCACCGAAAGCTCGGAATTCAGAATAAATAGTACGCCTTAGCAAAGCTCTATTTTTTATTGACTACCACACCCAAAAAGAAAAAAGTATTTATATATATATATATATATATATATATATATATATATATATATATAAATATAATGGCTATACACCCCAGTGTGGGATTAAACTGCAAATGCTTTCTAGATCCTATTTCTTAAGGGGATCAGTCTTTTTTGTTTATCTTATCTTCTTGACAATATCTCTCCATTTTTTCCTGTCTCTAGTTCTTCCTCTCCATTCTCTGACTCCTGCACTTTGGAGGTCTTCTTCAACTTCTTGCAGCCACTTTGATCTTGGTCTTCCCCTTCTCTTTCTTCCTCCTGGATTCCATTCTATCATTGCGTATGTCACTGCCTCATCGCCTGCTCGTTAAATGTGACCTAACCATCTACCTCTGGATTGCTTTATTTTAGTTACGATGTTTTCCGTAAGCTCTTCCTTAATTTCTGCATTTGTTCTGCTTCTATATTCATTTTGCTCTGTTCTGATTGGTCCTAGTATGGTTCTCATAATCTTTCTCTCTGCTATTCTTAAGTCTTCTTTATCTTTTTTAACCATCGTCATTGTTTCTCCTGCATATAATAATATTGGTCTAATTATGGTGTTATAAATGCTCATCTTACTTTTTTTAGTCAGTGTTTTGCTTTTAAGTAATCTTTTGTTTGCAAAATAAGTTTTATTCGCTGCTAATATTTTTTCTTTTATTTCGAATTTCCTTTCTCCGGTTTTACTTATTGTAACTCCTAGGTATTTGAAGTATTCTACTTCTTCAAACTCAGAACTTCCTATTTTGAATTTGTCTTTCATTGGTTTTTTTCCTAATCTTAATATTTTTGTCTTTTCTTGATTTAATCTTAGCCCCATTACCTCCCCTTTCTCTCTTATTTCTTCAAGCATTTCTTTCATTATTTTTCTGTTCTCTGCAATAATAGCAATATCGTCTACATATGCAATTATTTGACCACCTCTTGTTCTGAGATTTCCTTTATTTATATTTCGCAGTACATATTCTAATGCTAGATTAAATAGCGTTGTTGATAAGGCATCTCCTTGTTTCATCCCTTTATTTATACTGAATTCCTCTGTCTCCCCTATTTGTGTCTTTATGCTTATTTTTGTAGTTCTCATTGTCATCTCTATTAATTTTCTATGAAATTGTCATTTCTAAATTTCTATGTGGAATTTTTAATTTTTTAAGTGCTACCATTAATCCGTTCCTTTTAATTGAATCAAATGCCTGTTTGAAATCTATGAATAAAAACTAATTTATACTCGTTGGCTTTTTTCCATTATTTGTTTTATTATGTCTATTGCATCTATTTTGGTACTGGCTTACTGTCTTCTTTGTGATCTTTGATAACCTCTTTTTTTATTGATGTCAATATTTTATATGTTTTATTTAGTAACGTTATTCCTCTATAATTTTTTTCCTCTTAGTTCCCTTTCCCCGTATTTTATTAGTTCCATGTTAATTCCACCTTTACCAGGGGCTTCTCCATTTTTGCTTCTCTCTATTACTTCATCGAATTCCTCTAATGTTGGTTCTTTTGAAATTTCGATGTCTACTTCATCTACTTCATCTGCTTCTTCTTCATGCACCGTTTCCTCCTCGTTATGCATTTCTTCTTCTGTTGTTTCCTCTGTCAAGAGCTCTCTGTAGTAATATCTCCATACTTGCTTGTATTTTTGGTGCTCTATAATCACTATTACCTCTCTATTTTTTATTCCGTTTGTTTTGCCCTTGTATTTTTTGTTTTGTTCTTTAATCTTTTTATAAAAACTTTTCGTATTTCTGTTTGTTCTTTCGTGCTCTATTTCCTGCATTTTTTTGTTTACCCATCTTCTTTTATTTTGCCTTATCACTTTCTTAGCATTCCTTCTTAATATTTCATATTATTCTCTGTCTTCCTCTTTATCTGTTCTTAGCCATTTATTTCTGGCTTGCACTTTTTTTTGCATTTTCCTTTAGTGTAGGTTTTCTATCTTATCCATTCTATATATTATAATACTATGAAAGTTACAAAGAAGTCAATAGGTTCATCACCATTTCTATCTTTAATAAACAACACGAAAAATCCATTTTTCTCTTTAAATTGAAAATCTTGTAAATTTCTTAAAAGATACTTCTTAAGAAGTATCTTTTACTCTACTAGATCTTCTTACCTACACAATCGCCTCAAATAACGTTGACTTCCTGTTGTCTGTTTTCATATAAGTCACTTTTTTCCGAGCTCCGTAAACATTTTTATTTGAACCATTTGAAATGGCATTAGTAGCTCTGGCGTCCTCATTTACTTAAGAACTTACTTGTAGTCTACGTCTTTTTGAAGCTGCACTTATATTAGAATCACTAAAGGAAGAAAATAAATCGCTATATTCTGGATCACTTCTTGAGTCATAACATCAGACTCATACTCAATTTCGCTCAATTCGACTATTATTTGTTGCAGCTCAACTTCACTTAAACATCTAGATTTCATTTTGTATCAAAATAAACGCCTATCTGTGTAACGACCATAGCTAAGACTGATTTATTGTCACTGATACCCAACAATTTAACGTCCAAATAAATAATACTAAATTTTGTACATTGTAGCATCATCAGCATCATTGTAGCATCAGTAAAGCATTTGGCTACACATATATTTTAATGGAAAATAAGACTATTTAATGTACACATGTGTTACAAGCCAGCCAAAAGTTTGATATACACATAGTCTGTTCATAAGAGTTAAGTGTACCATTTTTGATTCACGTAGTAGTAAAAGTGTTAAGTTATATTTAACAAATCAAAATTGGACGTCAAAAGAGCATTTCAAAATTTAAAAGAAATATAAATAATGCATCCATTGTAATGATAGTATATTGATGGTTCTCTTTTACGTGCAATTTTAAAACGCAATGATCTTCTTCTTCTTCTTCTTCTTCTTCTTATTCTTCTTCTGACGCTACAACCCTTTGTGAGCTTTCCTTCTTAACAATGTTCTTCCATTCTGTCCTGTCGGTTACTTTTCTTGTTTCTGCCTAATGTTTATGGTTGTAACGTCCTACTCTACATCATTTATTCATATTTTACGGGCCTCTCTGTTGTTCTATTTCCTTGGGGCTTTCATTTCTGGATTACTTCCACCGCTAGATTTTGTGGCATTTTTTCTAAGTGACCAAGCCTAAACTGACTCTTTATGATTTTATAAATCTAACAATGTCGGCGCTTTGCATTGGTTCATCTAAATCGTGGTTCATTTTAATTCTCCACCCACCATCGGTATAATCGTTTGGTCCATATATCGTTCTTATCTTTGTTCTGAAGCTATTTTCTTGTGGCATCTTAATGCAATTACTATAGGTATTGTACTGAACTAAGCATTATTATTTTATTATTATTTAGATCACCGTAATCGATGGAATGAACGAACCAATTTTGAACCAAATTCCTCAACCAAAGGAAACGGTTTGAAAATATAATATGAATGAAACCAATACAACCCATATAAATATACCATCGGATTTGGAGGAAAAAATATGGAAGTCTTTCGCTATCAACAACTTTGTAGTAATTGGACTATACATTCCAGTTTTAATAGTAGCAGCAACAGCAAATTTGCTATTTATTGCTATTGTGATTAAGCACAGATACATGAGACGGTGAGTACCTTTTTATTAACTAAAATTTATTTATTTAACTTTCCTAATGCTTATTAGAAATGTGTTTTTACAGTAATCACGAGAAAGAAATAACAAAGTCTACGCAAATTTAACATTTTTGAAGATTATGCTTTTATATGCACTAAAAAGAGATCAAAAAAACACATTTTTATAAGTTTAAACACAGGCAAAATTAGTGATATTTTTTAGTTTTTTTTTTTTATTAGAAAAGCAAACAGGTTTTATATGAATTTAAACAAAAAAGAGTTATTGGGGGACGATTAAGTAAAAAGTAGAATTTTTTTTTTTAATTCGCAACTAATTTGTTTATATGATTTAAGAAATGTAATTACTCTTATTTTAAAGTAAAGACTTGAACTTTCAACGTAACAATTAAAGAAGATTAAACTTAAACAGCACTAGTCTGCAGGCTAAACTAAGTGAGGGTAGCCAGATATGGCGAAAATTACACCAACCGATTGCCGGTATAAGCAAACCACCACTTACTGTTGAATTAGTAGGTGGTAGGGCACTCTTTTGTCCTGAGATTGAGAAATCGATCTCGAAGGCTGATGAACCAAAGTCAACGGCATAAGGATACAGAAGGCAACGGGGAACCACTGTATTAAAGACTCGTAGAGTACCCCTAGTATAAATCATCATGACAAAGAATAGCGATTCTTTGGAAGTTACTGATCATCGTAATCGGAAACCAAGATCCGACAGGAGGGGAGATTCAATAAGTTGCAGAGCTCCTCCAATGTATCGCCGCATAAGTATCGCCACATGAAATGTGAGAACGCTATTTGAAGCTGGAAAACTACACAATGCTGGTCAAGAGATATGTCGGTTATAGATCAGTATTTTAGGACTCAGCGAAGTCAGATGGACAAATGTAGGTTAATGCGTCACCCCAATCGGTACCATTTATTTTTCAGGACGAAATTACAATCATCATAGTAATGGAGTGGCAACAGAGAATTCAGGGAACTAAATATAATTCAAATATATGCTCCTACAGCGGAGAGTAGCTAAGAGGACACAAAAGAATTTATATAAACCATTGAACAAACACTGAAAGCTGTTAAGTCTAGAGACATTACAATAATAATGGGAGATTGGAATGCAAAAATTGAGAAAGAATAGGCAAATGGATTGGAAAATGTGGCCTCAGCCAAATAAATGAAAGAGGTGATCGGCTATTGCAATTTTGCCAGGAAAATAATTTTATAATTAAAAACACATTTTATCAACTACCAACAAGACGCGTATACAAGTGGAAATCTCCTGGGGACACTAAAGACCATATTGTACGAAATCAAATAGATTATATAACCATAAACAACAGGTATAAAAACACAATTGAATCTGTGAAAACGTATCCAGGAGCAGATATAGGGTCAGACTACAATCCAGTAGTGGCACAATTCTGAATAAAACTATAAAGAGTACAAGCACCTAAGCCCAAACAAGTAATAGATATCAATCGTTTAAGTGATGAAACAATTAAACATCAAGTAGAAACAACCATTCAGGCAAACCTTAAAAAACTTAAATAGACAGGAGATGCCAGAACTAGACATTAATAAAAACTGGGCCATTATTAAAAAGAACGTGCTGGAGCCCGCCAAAAATATTCTGAAGAGATAAAAACCGCAGAAATAGAAAGAAGGGATGAGTGACGAAATTTTGTATTGATGAATTCTCTAAGACTATCAAAAGGTAAAAATGAAGAGCAGTATACGCAAATTAACACAGAGAATAAAAGAAAAATTCGCGACGCTAAAAAACAATGGCTACAAGACAAATGTAAGGAGATTGAAAACTTGGAAGCCAAATATGATTCGTTCTATATTCACAAGAAATGATCAACAATAAAATCAGGAAGCAGACAGTACTTATAGACCAACCAGAAAATATGATAATGGAAACAGAGGAGAAACTAAAACATAGGCAGACATACATAAAAGAACTGTTTGACGATCAAAGGCATCCTTCTTCTTTTTTATGAACCTAAGCCCAAGAGAATCCACTAATATATATATATATATATATATATATATATATATATATATATAATATATTATATATATAGTAGTTTTGAGTTTCTTGAACCGTATTATATTTAATATAAAATTAATGTTTCTTGGGTTTAGGTTCAATAAAAATATGTTACATGTGGAACTAGATTTTATTTTCCATTGCAATCAATCAACGTTTCGGCAGGAAACCCTTGCCTTTGTCAAGATTCTAAAATGTGTATATATATAAGGACAAACAGATATTTTAAAAATATGTATATATATATGACTTACCAAAACGTAAAACGTGACACAGACATTAACGAACTGACATATAAAAGTTGATATCTGATATCTCATTGTTTACTGTCATTAGTATATAATTATTTTTATATGAGCGTATCGTTGATGTTTTCGAAAAAGGTAAGGTGGAGATATGTTATGACTTTAAGAGCTTTTTATGATGTTATATTATTATTGTTTAAATCAGATTGAAATATATTTTATTTAGGTTTTGTGTATCTTTTTTGTCATTTATTGCGTTGGTGTTTCTTTTTATTTCTATTGATTCGTATATCTCCCTCTTCTTTTTGTTTTTTTCTGTTTTTAAAATTCTGATGTTTTCAAAATCAAATTTATGCTTCTTCCCGCTTTCATGTTTTGTGAGCGCAGTGACGTTGTTCTTGTCGTATTTGTGAGAACGAATTCTGGATTGAAGCAGTTGACTGGTTTGACCGATATAGACACCTTCACAGTTTGTACATGGTATCTCGTAAACAACATGTGATTTTTTAAGTTTTGGAGTTTGTGTTTTTAGTTTTGTGAAATATTTATTTAAGAGATTGTTGCCTTTGTGGGCCACTGTTATGTTATGTTTGGCTAAAAGATTGGTTAGTTGTTCAGATAAACCTTTTATATATGGAAGAGTTGTATAAGTGGTTTTGATACTGTTGGGTTTGTTGTTAGTTGTATTGTTATAAAATTTATTGAGTCTTGATTTGAAAATAGTTTCGATTAGATGTTCGGGATATGCATTCTTTAGGAGGGCATTTTTTGCTTTTTTTATTGCAGTTGGTCTGTATTCTGGATCTGTTAGTTTTATAGATTTATCAGCGAGACTTATAATTACAGACTTCTTATGGGAAAATGGATGATGGGAATTGTAGTTAAGATACCGTGAAGACCAACGAATATCCAAATATCGAATATCGAATATACCAACAAATGGATGGATGTCAATGGTGCAAGTATCTCTAGTGTCATTGCCCAACTGGTTCTGGAAGACTTAGAAGAATCTGTCATGAGTCACTTAGATTTTAATGTACCTTTCTTCTACCGCTATATCGATGACTGTGTCTGTGCTATTCCAACAAATAAAACAACCGAAATTTTAGATATTTTCAACAGTTACCATCCAAAATTAAAGTTCACTATAGAAATTGAACAAAATAATAAAATAAACTTTCTGGATGTCACCTTACATCGCATTAACAATACAGTTAAAACTATGTGGTTTACAAAAGAAACATGGTCTTCACGATATCTTAACTACAATTCCCATCATCCATTTTCCCATAAGAAGTCTGTAATTATAAGTCTCGCTGATAAATCTATAAAACTAACAGATCCAGAATACAGACCAACTGCAATAAAAAAAGCAAAAAATGCCCTCCTAAAGAATGCATATCCCGAACATCTAATCGAAACTATTTTCAAATCAAGACTCAATAAATTTTATAACAATACAACTAACAACAAACCCAACAGTATCAAAACCACTTATACAACTCTTCCATATATAAAAGGTTTATCTGAACAACTAACCAATCTTTTAGCCAAACATAACATAACAGTGGCCCACAAAGGCAACAATCTCTTAAATAAATATTTCACAAAACTAAAAACACAAACTCCAAAACTTAAAAAATCACATGTTGTTTACGAGATACCATGTACAAACTGTGAAGGTGTCTATATCGGTCAAACCAGTCAACTGCTTCAATCCAGAATTCGTTCTCACAAATACGACAAGAACAACGTCACTGCGCTCACAAAACATGAAAGCGGGAAGAAGCATAAATTTGATTTTGAAAACATCAGAATTTTAAAAACAGAAAAAAACAAAAAGAAGAGGGAGATATACGAATCAATAGAAATAAAAAGAAACACCAACGCAATAAATGACAAAAAAGATACACAAAACCTAAATAAAATATATTTCAATCTGATTTAAACAATAATAATATAACATCATAAAAAGCTCTTAAAGTCATAACATATCTCCACCTTACCTTTTTCGAAAACATCAACGATACGCTCATATAAAAATAATTATATACTAATGACAGTAAACAATGAGATATCAGATATCAACTTTTATATGTCAGTTAGCCAAACATAACATAACAGTGGCCCACAAAGGCAACAATCTCTTAAATAAATATTTCACAAAACTAAAAACACAAACTCCAAAACTTAAAAAATCACATGTTGTTTACGAGATACCATGTACAAACTGTGAAGGTGTCTATATCGGCCAAACCAGTCAACTGCTTCAATCCAGAATTCGTTCTCACAAATACGACAAGAACAACGTCACTGCGCTCACAAAACATGAAAGCGGGAAGAAGCATAAATTTGATTTTGAAAACATCAGAATTTTAAAAACAGAAGAGGGAGATATACGAATCAATAGAAATAAAAAGAAACACCAACGCAATAAATGATAAAAAAAAAACACAAAACCTAAATAAAATATATTTCAATCTGATTTAAACAATAATAATATAACATCATAAAAAGCTCTTAAAGTCATAACATATCTCCACCTTACCTTTTTCGAAAACATCAACGATACGCTCATATAAAAATAATTATATACTAATGACAGTAAACAATGAGATATCAGATATCAACTTTTATATGTCAGTTCGTTAATGCCTGTGTCACGTTTTACGTTTTGGTAAGTCATATATATATACATATTTTAAAATATCTGTTTGTCCTTATATATATACACATTTTAGAATCTTGACAAAGGCAAGGGTTTCCTGCCGAAACGTTGATTGATTGCAATGGAAAATAAAATCTAGTTCCACATGTAACATATTTTTATTGAACCTAAACCCAAGAAACATTAATTTTATATTATATATATATAATATATATATATATATATATATATATATATGTATATGTATGTATGTATGTATGCATGTATAAATCAATATTTAACAATTACACATTTAATTTATTTTTAGAGCCAGTACCTATTTGTTAATCAATTTGTCAATAGCTGATTTATTGATAACATTGTTTGCTATGCCAAGTGCAATGTGGAATGCATACACTCCACTATATTCCCTTGGAAAGTTCGGATGTAAAATACTGAGTTATATAGAATGTAAGTAAATATTTATATCTTATATACCTAAGCGTCTTCTAATGATTCGTTTTTTATGATTACAAACCTGTTCCATTCACTAGTTCACTAGGTCCCCTAGATACTTTTTACTATAGTTAAAGGCTAGCGAGCGTCATGGAACTAACGCGACAAGAAGGTATCACGAGTAGCGTTACATAATAACGGTTTTCACATGGATTCATTACTCCCGATCAATTCGTTTCTATTCATAATATTAATGTTTCTTTCAAACCATACCTAAATTTTATTTTTAATTTACGATTAAATGATATTTATTTATATTTTATTATTAATGTAATATTAAGTCTCACTTTGACGGATCTGTCAGAAGTAAACCATGTTAACTTTGTTGTTAAGTTAGCAGGTGGCGCCAGGAGCAAACATAATTGATTAAATTAATTTAATATAATATAATTTGTTTAACATATAAATAATAAATTAATAGTAAAATTAGTTTATTTAATTTTAAAAATAATATTACATTAACATAGCATGAAGCTTCTCGCTTGTCTACTGTGTCTCCTATGAAAAAATGAAACTAAAATAAGTATATAAGTACACTTACTCATAGCAGTTGTAGGAAATTTTTGAGATAATAATTTTGATGAACCGCAATTTGTGAAATTTAAATAAAATATTAATTTAATTAGAAAATTTAAAACTATAATAATATTTTGTCAGCAAATTTGGCCATAATGAGACACTTTGTATCAGGAACGAACCGAGTGGGGATATATTGCCCCCAATATTAATTTCTGGCTTCGCTCCTGCTCTGTATAAAAACATACAAATAACTTACCTCGTTGTCTATTAAATCATTATCTACATTGGAAAGAAAATGTGTTGCTTTATTGTCATCTAAAAATAGGTACGTTTTCGTCGGTTTCCGCTCCAGACTTCTTTGACTTAGCAACCTTCTTACATTCTTTTTTGTACGTTGAACGAATGATTTTTTTTTTGTTTAAAACGCAATCTTAATTAGCATTGTAGTCCACAATTCTAAACTCTTCAATTAATTTAGAACGTTTTAAATTTAAAGTCATTCGCGAGACCCCATTTTTATTTTTTATAGTTCTTCTATTTAGAGAAACTAAGATCTATGCAAAAACGATAATATGAACATCTCCATTTTGATTCTTCTTCTTCAAGTTCCACTCCTGTCGGAGATTGGAAATTATTCTGGCAATTATAATTTTATTGGTTACTCGCCTAAATAGTTCAATTGAACTGCATCCAAACCATTGACGGAGATTGCGTAGCCACGAGATTTTATGTCTTCCTACGCTTCTTGTACCTTTGATTTTACCCTGCATTATATTCCTTAGTAGTTCTTACTTTTCACCTCTCATGATGTGCACCAAGTATTCCAATTTCCTGATTTTTATGGAATTTTAAACTTCGCATTGTTTTCCTAGTTGTTCGAGAACTTGTTCGTTTGTTTTGCGATCCATCCATGATATTTTCAAAATACGTTGGTAACACCACATTTCGAATGCTTCTAGGTTTTTAATGTTGGATTTTTTAAGTGTCCAAGCTTCAACTCCATACAAGAGGGTAGAGAAAATATAACATCGAAGCATTCTTATCCGGAGCGATATATTGATATCGCGATTACAAAAAAGTTTTCTCATTTATTAAAAGTTGACCGCGCAATTTCAATGCGGCATCTTATTTCTTTTGTCTGATCAGTATCTTCTGTGATCCATGCTCCAAGGTATTTGTACGAAGATATTTGTTCAATTTCTGTATTATCTAGTACTAGCTTAACTTTGATGTTTTGTGCTTTTGTAAATACCATGAACTTGGTTTTCTTCAAATTGATTTTTAGTCCATAATCGTTGCAATATATAGTTAGTTGTTCAGCAAGGTGTTGCAGTTCTTCTAGTGTTCCTGCCAGAAGGACGGTGTCGTCAGCATATCTTATGTTATTAAGTGGCTCACCGTTTATTATAAGGCCCTCACTGATCTCGGCAAGCGCTAATTCTGAGATGGCTTCACTGTATAAATTGAATAACAAGGGCGATAAAATACACCCTTGGCGGACCCCACGGCGAATCTGGATATCCTTGGTCAGTTCATTTTCAACTTTCACTTTTGCTGTTTGATTCCAATAGAGGTTACAGATGATTCTAATGTCTCTACTGTCTATGTTTTTATTTAATAAAATTTATTTAAGTCGATTATGCTGCACTCTGTCAAATGCCTTCTCAAAATCAATGAAACAGGCATATACTTCCTGATTAATATCTAAGCATCTCTGCGAAAGAACACTTACTGCAAACAGTGCATCTCGTGTTCCCAGTCCTTTCCTAAATCCCATTTGTGTATTACTTATGCCTTCATCTAATTTCTTATGTATTCTATTGTGAATTACTTTTAAAAACAATTTCAAGACATGACTCATTAAGGCTATGGTGCGATGTTATTGCACTCCTTTGCATTGGCTTTTTTGGGAAGCAGTATGAATGTTGATTGGAGCCATTCTTTAGGTATTATACCTGTTCTATATATGGTATTGAATAGATCCAAAAGAAGATCAATAGATTCAGTATTCACAATTTTAAGTAATTCGATAGGAACTTCATCAGGCCCGGAGATTTACCACCTTTAGCTTGTTTCATTGCATATTCAATTTCTTCTCGTATAATGTCAGGCCCAGTATCATCCTTAAATTCTTTTGGTGCTTCTGCTCTCTCTTTGTCTTCAAAAAGTTGTGCTATATATTGTGTCCATCTCTGCATTTTTTGGTTTATATCTGTTATAAGTGCACCCCTTTCATCTCTTAGTTGCCTAGTTTGAAGTGTTTTTCTCATTCCTGTTAATTCTCTAATTCTTTTATGCATGTTAAAAAAGTCATATTTTTTCTCAATTTCTTCTAGTTCTTGGCACTGCTCATGTAACATTCTCTCCTTAGCTTCTTTTATTCTCTTTTTTATTAATCGATCAGTTTCATTATATTTAATTGGATTTTTGTTTTGAATGATTTTCTTTCATTCATTAATAGTAGTATTTCTTCAGTCATCCAATCTTTATGTTTTCTATTCTTTGGTTTTAAGTTTTCATTTGCTGTTTTAATTATTGCTACTTTTATATTTTTCCATTTCTGATCAATGTTATAGCTACTTTTATTCAGTTCTTGGGCATTACGTAGATTTTCAGTAAGAGTTTTTACAGTTTGTTCCTTTGTTTGTGGTTCCCTTAATCTCTTAATATCAATTCTACTTTGTGTGGGTTGTTTAACCAGTTTTAATTTGGTTCGTAATGTGACTACTATGGGGTTATGGTCTGAACCGATATCTGCTCCAGGGTAAGTTTTGGCAGACAGTATAGAATTACGAAATCTTTGTCTAATAAGGACAAAGTCAATTTGATTTCGGATTATTCTATTCGTTGTATCACCAGGAGATTTCCATGTATATAATCTTCTTTTGGGTAGCTTAAAAAGTGTATTAGCTATTACAAATTCTTCCGTCTGGCAAAATTGTATCAAACGGTCACCACGTTCATTTCTATTTCCAAGTCCATATTCATCAAACTGCTCAGTTCCGCCAATTCCGATAAATACTGTTCCGTTCGATGCGAAGGTACTGTTTTTAAAAATCGTAGAAAACTGTGCATTTTTACCCCATACACGTAGCGATTATCGGTGTAATTTGAACAGTACAGTTAAATCGTAACGATTTATTGTAGCTTGTAAGGCCGCTTTTCAAGTACTTTTGTTTCACTAGGCTTCAGAGATGTGATTATACTTTTAGTGATAAATTGCTCTATATAAATGAAATTTGCCTTGGATTTAGTTCCTGCAGTTTTGCTTTGGGCTTTTTGCCGTCCTAAAGTTTTTTTGTTAAAGCATAGCACACAACACATTGACCTTTAGCATGCTCTTGTAATACGTGATGCTCATCATTTTGGACGTTCTTCGCTGATCCAAGCTCATGAGTTGCATCTAAAAGTGTCAGGGCGAGATGCTTTCTGAGTTTAGTAATCTGCATTTTATTTTTTTTTATTTCTCTAAAGCAGAAACTAAACTTAGCTCGATTGATAACTTCCAATACCATTTAGTACCTTGTGTAAAAGAATGTGAATATGCTTTCAGTTAATCCGAAAGATCAATATAAGCTTTGGCGATATTATAATCTGCAATGACTGTTGGTTTTTCGATTTCTTTTCCGCGTTGTTTCACTACCACGACCTTATCGGTATGTTTGTTGGTCAACAGCATTACATCTTTGGTAGATTTAAATTTCACAATAACTGCGCCAGTATTACTTTAATGGGCAAATACTTCATGTCTTTGTACTTCTGTTTTTCTTTTGTCAACTTCTTTACAACCTCAACAAGATGCGTTTTTCTGTTCAATAATTGAGATGCTAAACACACAATTTAATAGTTATCCATATGGAGGGTTCGTCGCTTGTCCAGAAGATTGTCCATCAAACTCATGACTACATTTGCTATTGCATTACCGTTACCATCGGTTCCACAAGGAACATTACGGTTACCATACACTTTTCGATTATAGGTATATCCACTAGTTATAATAAGTTTGTAGAATTTAATTCCAAATTTGTTGTTTTTGTTTTTAATGTACAGCCTAAATTTTAAACGGCCTCTAAAGGGAACAAGAGTTTCATTGCATATATCAGGTCCTGGTACAAAAACATACCAAAATCTTTTTAATAACTGGTTGATGGCTTTTTTGGTGAACTTTTATACATTACTTACGTTAATTTTTTACATAGTACAGTCGTGCTTAACGTGTACAAAAAGGGGTGTACATACGTGACATTATAAGTGTATGAGGGAACATACACTTATAATGTCAGGAGGACTGTATTACAGTGTATGAGGACTGTATTACATAGGGCTGGTTCAAATAAATTAGGATATGTAGTAAAGGGTTATATTCTTCTTCTTCTTCTTTAGGTATCATCTCCTCTAAGGAGGTTGGTAATCATCACAGCTATTTTCACTTTTGA